TATATATTACCGCGATAACCGCCATGTTCAGCAGGTTGACATCGCGTAGACATTCGCTGAACAGAGAAGAAGACGATCGATTACGTCGATTGGTTCACGAATGTCTTTTTAAATAAAATTTTACTATACTTCTTTCAAACCACACGCACCGTACACGAAACTGACCTTCGACAGTTCCTTCATTTTTTATTCGTCGTTCGACATTTTTATTTGAACAAGAATTCTGTCCATCAGGTGCGATTCTATATACTGTTGGGTCATACTATTGAATAACCTTCTGTTTCATAAGTTTTCTGTTAGTCACTCCAAGTATAAGGGTCCTTCTGTCGAACGGTCGAAATCTTCAAGAAATCTGCGAAACGTGTCATTCGGCGTAACACGCTTTCTAAACCAGAGGTTATTTTCGCGCAAAGTCCGACTTCTGCCTATCTTAACTAGAATCATCCTGTCCGAAACAAATCCCGGGTCTCGTCCCTGGGAGATTTGAGCAAATAATGGACTCTATTCGGAAAGACCCAAGAGGAAACGTCCTTACGATATACTTGGGTCAAGAGGGGTCCTTGAATACCCGATCTCGTATGATTCAAAAAGACTGGAAAGGCTGATTGTTCTGACGAGGATGCATCACTCTTCAAATTCTTATGTTGTAATAGTCGAACAAGGTAAGCGATGTGTGTTTATTATATCTGCAAATATTTGGCTCAACGAGGGGGAACCCACACTCAAAGATTCAACGTGTAACGAGAATAAAAATGTCTTACATCATTGTTCGAAATTTTAAATCGTGCAAAAATTTAGTTTCAACTACCGGTTGACAAACATTTCGAGAGTTAATTTGCCATTTGAAATGTTGTCAAACGTTAGAAATAATTACTTCGGACAAGTAAATGTTTACAGGTCCCATGGCGGGCATTTTGAACATTTAACGAATTGAATAATTCGGAGATCGAAATGTTCCAATTTCAGTTTCGTATCTGCATCGTATAGCTACGAATCAAAACTTCGAATTATCACATTTTTTTAATAGAAGCATGCGACGAAAGAATGGTTCGATCAAAACAAAGTTGTTTTCGTTCAAGGAATTTAAAGATATTCCTTTGGAGTTTTCGTTAAAAATTTGTAAGTCTAAGCTAATTCCTAAGAAGGATTCGTACGATATGTGTGTTTTATTTATTTTTTGCACCGTTGTGATTTCGTGGAAGAGCGTAGAATCGAAACTATACGTCGAAAACCCACGGCCGTTCGCCGAAAAACTCGTCCACGGCGATTTATTTTATTTGCGAACCGAGGATACGAAATATAAATACGGTAATATAATATTACGGGAAACACGGGGCGCGTGTTTACTCGTGCGTTTCATTTGCGTTTGGACAACGAAGTCCGTGAATCGAAATTTATATTGTACGTTGTACCGTGTTCTCCGATTGCAATTGATTAAAGTATTACGTGCATCACGCTGACTATACGTTCCATTCGCAAATTGGTACGGTTACGATGATTGACGGTGAGCGCACGTGTATTATTCCGGACTGTTACGGGATGAAAAATAAGAATTTTTTTTCACGATAACTCCAACTTAAGGGATGAAACTACTCTGTAAAGTTTCAGCCATCCAATGTTATCTTGCAAACTGTTGGAGATACGTGTAAGGTTTTTTTATGATTTTTGACGGAAAATAACAGAATGTATGAGTCAGAACCAATCAATAAAAACGTTAACAAAACACTCGTAAACACAATCGTCGATATTACGTGTGTAAAACTGATTATAGGTTATCTTCTGAAGTATTGTTACTTAATGAAAGATACTTAATCTTATCTTGGAAGATACGTGCAACATCTTAGGGATAAAACTATTCTGTAAAGATTTGTTCTTTAAACGTTTGTTACGGCAGCTGAAATAAATACGTGTTCCTTCAATTTCGTAAAATTTCATCGAAAATGGGGAAAGGAATTATTTTGAGTGGCGTTTTTCACGTTCTTTTGCGTTAAATCGACGCTTCTACGCAGAAAACACGATACCAATCGTAACAATCATCACGTGATTAATGGATTTAAATGGAGAAATCTTCCGATGATTACCACGGTTAATTTACTGCTTGGTCCGCGATTTATTCATCGAACACAAAACTAGGTAATTAAAGATTGTAATAATATCGTAATATCGAACAAACAATGTAAGAAATAATATTTTCCATGTTTATTACATGCACTGCGAAGAAACGTAAACATTGTCGAGTGTCTCGTACACACATAACGCTTTAAATGTTTATGATATTGCATATAACGCGTATCAGTGACGATGAAGAACATTCGCGAGCCTCTTGTTGCCAGAGCGATCATAATTTCGTAATGGAAATCGACCGATCCTCTGCGACCACGTCATCATTATTAAAAATCATGCGCTGCATGGTTCCGACCCTTTCAGTTGAAATACAATTTTTAATAACAAAAATTGTTGCCAGTATACATTTCGCAGTAAATGGAATTCAACAAAAAATAAAATGGCAGAGTAACCACATATTTCGAGGTCTCGAGAACATATACATAACACATGACAAGCTAAAATTTTTATGAAATTACACATTTCCAAAACTGCTGTTTGATTTTTATCTTTCATAATTATAGTAGAGCCTGCAAGAGACGAAAGAACGAATTATTTCGTTTCAAATAAATAAAAATACAAGCTGTGACAACGTTGATATGATTATGTTATTGGAAAATTTTAATCTAAATATGTATTCATAATTTTAATGGATACTTCCATGTTACAATATACAAGGTGTTCGGTCATTCCTGGGAAAAATTTTAATGGGAGATTCTAGAGACCAAAATAAGACGAAAATCGAGGATAGTAATTTGTTGATTGAAGCTTTCTTAAAAAGTTATAGAAACATTTCCGGTCACACAGTATATTTTCCAATATATCCAGTATATGGTCCAAAGTCCACCTACTCGAATTTTTTTCTCGAAAGTGCGTAGGAATTCGGGGGTATGTGTATTCGCCAAAAATGATTGTAATTGACCCCCGCAGCCGAAAATAATTTTTCCAGAATCATTTGAAATTTTTAGTTCAATTGAACAAATTGATATTCTTGACTTTCGTCTTATTTTGGCGTCTAGAATCTCCTATTAAAATTTTTCCCAGGGGTGGCCGAACACCATGTATAGGAAAATTATTACACGAAAGACAGACTTGCCACTATCCTTAATGACAAAAAATACAGAATGTAATCAATTTTCTTGGCTTTCTATTCCCTTTCCTGTTTAAATATATTTCACAATTAATTTATTTCGTTATTCTTTCTTTTCATAGTAATTGTATTACAAAAGAATGGTTCATTCTTTCCTTATCTCTTTATAATGCTTATCTGATAAGAATATGAGTATTTCTTTTTATTTTCCAATAATATCAATAATGTTAAATATTATAATTCTGAATTTCTTTCCTTTATTTATTAAAATATTTTTAACTACTTGTTTTGGCTCCCCTTCGGTGATAAAAGTTAAGAATGAATCGTTGGCAAACAAAAACGTACAAACCCTTCACTTAATATTCTCGGAAATCTTTAAATGGAATCGTGGAATTTCGAAACCTAAAAATTTCGGGAGGACGCAATCGCTAAGTGAAATTTATTTTGCGTTTCAAAAGTGTAGTTTTATCAACGGTATTCGGTCTCCAAACTTGATAATTTTATTTTTGATAAACGAGTACAGTATTGTCTCTATAGAAGCGACGCTCTCGGGGCTCAACGCTCGGCTATATCGTGGACGAGAAACGATTCTTGATACTTTGTTGACGCCTACTGGAGGCGGCGAGTATAGAAAAGAACAGCGAGCATATGACAAAGAGGGACTGAGCGGCCGAGCATCGCCGAATTTGCTATCGCTTCCTTCGCTTCGGGTCGGCTGTAACGAAACACAGGCGATGTTTATGCGAGCCTATACGAAATCGGTGTTCTAATTCTGACTTCTACCTCTCTTGGTAGAGGTCGCAGAATGAAATACTGATTCTGTATAGGCTCGCGTAAACATCGCCTGTGTTTCGATACAGCCGACGTGGAGTCACTTGAGCGATGCATGCCTTTGATTTCTTATTGCGTTAGTAAATAGGACCTAAATTGTATATCGTATTTGGTGTCATTTTAATCAGAAAAGTGTCACGAATATGTTGATGAAGTTTGAAAAAAGGAAGAACAAAAATAAAGATGAATTTCGTTGTTGATTTAATATTGTATATGTACTAGTTAAATCGTGTCATAACTTCAGTACATATATGTATGTATCGATCGTTTACTGCAATAGTGATATAACCCGAAAAGATATACATAACTTGCGAATTTAAACTGTTTAACCAACTTATTTTACTCTGAGTTGTCTCACGATTTCGGCAAATAAATGATAGGTCAATTAAATTACAATTCCTTTTTTCAGATGAGGATACACTTTAAAGAAAGGTCAAATGTATATTATAATTTATGAAAAACAATAATAAAAATTATGTTGTACTTGATCTTAGTTAAATCAGAAAACTGTCACAGACATGTTAAAAGTTTCAAAACAAGAAAACGAAAAATAAAAAATTTGTATTATTGCACTAGTGTTGCCTTAGTAATTTGAGCCCGTATCGTATGACAATGTTCGACGACCGACTGTCAAACGCGCCGCTATCTTGGGGAACCGCCCATAGGAAGGCATACTCGCCGATACAGCGAGTGCTTAGTTCTAACGGTACGCAGTGGGGATAAGTAGAGGGGATATGATATTTGCCTATATCGTGGACGAGTTCCGAGCTTATATAGAGAAAATACTGTACTACGTACACGCGGATAAGTCACGAATACTAAGTTAAATATCTCTGTGTGCAATGCCTCGTTCTTATTGTATTTAATCGACATCAGTCGTGAAGTAGGAATAGTATATGAAAGAATATCTTCAAGTATCAAACGTTCGACCAACTTTCAGTAGATTAGTTTCAAGCACATTATTGTGAAGTCGGTCTTACAAATAGTTCAGTAATAGACATGGAAAATGAAAGGTCAGTTCATGTGATTGGATGTCCATTGCCTCCGTATTCGGAGGCCGTAACTGCGCCACCGATGAGAAACGAAACCGGGCCACCTATTGGTGTTCATTATCAAGGCTATAATCAACCAATGGCACCAAGCTATCCGCAGTCTTGGATTCCTGTGGGCATTAATGTTCAACAACCTAACAGTTTTACTCCACAATATAATCCACCGGCCAATTACATCGTTAGAAGCGAGAACATAATCTACGAAAACGACTCGTGCGTAGGTAAGACATTTTTGGAAATTATAATTTATAGAATTCTTTTTACACTTGACACGAACTCAACAGACCGCGAAAAGCTCTCGATCCACCATTTTCTACGCGAGTTTTCATGATGAAATTAAAATTGAAAATTAAAATTTGTACGCGATAGCAAATGATAAACTCTATAAGCCTATCCGCCACACTCACCAGATAATGTAATCTTCTTAACTCTACCGCCACGTAACGTTAAATAATCAATAAGAAAGCACATGACATTTTTTATCTCTAATCTCCGATATCTGGACTAGCGATCATGCTCTCGTCTCGGAGCATTCTCGATATTGTTTAATAAGTCTATCGAGAGCCCCAACTACAGTTGGATAGTTTGCTAACTTGCAAACACTTTAATAGTCGTATATTACACGCGCGTATACTAATTAATGAATATATAAATTTAAATAATTTTTTATTATTGTTTAAAGAAATATTCATGACTATATCCGTATCTTTTTGTAATGCTTATCGTATGAAAATATAATTATTTCTGATTATTTTCAATAGTACAAATAAATTTAGGAAACATTATTTTATTTCGACGAACAAAGAAAACGGGAGTATAGGAATGATCGAAACCATAATCCCTTCTCTACATAAATTCGACTTAAATTCATTGGAATGATAAATTGTTTTCCTTCGAGCAAAATTGTTTCACACAACCATATACTTCTGATTGTATGTTTTGACCAGAATACGACAATTGCATTAAATATTTTAAAAATAAAATCAACATTTTTGTTTCAGACACCTGTTGTGTTTGGTGTCTCTCAATCGTGATCATCATTATTTTAGCAGTAATTATAAGGGTAGTAATTTTGGCAGTGCTTGCAAGATAGATTGATAAGATGTGCTTACCTTGTAAATACAAACCTAACGACGAACGAAATTTGTAAATAAAAAAACTCAGTATTATATAACAATAAATATAATACTAGCAGTGAAACTGTTCGCATATTGTATTTCTTATCGTTATAATGTTTCTTTTATCGTGTACATGAGAACTATTTTTTAATTTTTTTTTTGTATAAATATTGTAGCAGCGTGAGGTTTCAATTACTAATTATTCATTCAGAAAAAATTTTATATTGCAACATACAATTATCATAAATAAAACTAAACAAATTATTCTCCAAACAACCTCACGAGTGTGTGAGTCGAATCTTGATCTAGAGATTCTTTTTATATGTTTGAGTAGACATTAATCTCGCTAATAATGGCAATAGAGGATGGCGAAAAATGGCCTCAAGAGTTACAAATTTGTCCAAACGAAAGAAAAAATATTCCAAAAACGATCATTTAAAATTATATTTCGAGCGATCGCGGTATACAGACCACCCTGTATATAGGAGGGGAAATCTTCCTCGAGAATCCACGAACTCGTAAACCACTTTTTAAACCATCGTAGGACGTAAAACCCCGGCGTGATTGTTGTCGATATACTTGGGCGAAAGGATTCAGTTAGGAACGAAGCAGCGCGAATCGTCGCACGAATCGTATATCCGTCGCTTTGTCGTATAAAAGGAGCTCGTATAACGCCCTTATAGTCCTTATATCTTGCTGTTACGCGTAGCTCTACGCGACTAGGCGCTGTTAACCGTTTCGCCGGTTCAAGATCGCGGTACGAGAAAATCGACGTAACTTTTAGTTACGCGGACCTGTGCCAGCGCTAAAGACGCTCGATGTGGGCGACACGCTGGAACTCTGTTACGAATAACGGCCATATTTCGCGGATATAACTGAACGTCACTCGCACTCACGCACACACACGTGGCCACGGGCCGGAAAGGGTGGATACGTCGCGATATCGCCAGCTTTTATTATTGACGCAATAAAACCCTGGTAACCGAGTAATAATTTAAGACTTCAGCGGCGTTCGACTCGAGCACCTTCGGCGCCGAGAGTGCGCCTCGACTAGACGCTTCGCCAATAAGCGACTGCGTGAATCCATTTGCTCTGCAGAGACTTTATGAGTCCCGTTCGCGTTGGTACAAGTGGCTCGGAATCGAATATAGGGGTGGATCGTGCGTCGTAAGTAGATCCGGAAGTCGTGAGTGGCATAGATTATTGAAAAACGCGCGCCCCAGCATACCATGCGGTCCGAATAAAGAGTTACAAGCTGTTTTCACAGAATCCAATTAAGATATCCACTGCTCTTCTTTGCCCTTTTCCCTCCTAACTGAAAGAATTTTTGCACGTGAGAAGATTAGCCTTCGAACCTTTTAATTAAAATATTGAAGTCGATAGCTTCATTGGTTTCTGAGAAAACAACTTGTACAGTAGTGATTCTCTAGAGTGGAGGCCAACGCAGCGATATCATTACTTTAACACTTTGTTTATTTAACACGATCAAGCATTTACAAATTCGAATGATTCGGGGACTGTACATTTTCCGACCATCGCCCGTCGCCGATCGAACTGTTACCTTCGGACGAGACACCGTATAAATTTCCACGGAACGATTTATCATCGGTAATGGCGTAACGCGTTCTCGAACGGGGACGTCGGTGGATCGTCGAAAGTTGCCAGCGCCTTTGTTCTCCCCGTCGCGAAAGAGCTTAGTCGTAAGTTCTCTGCGGGTCCCAATGAAAATCGATCGCCATCGGTGAGCGACTGAATAAAGTGCCGAGGACGTATTGTCGAACGGTGGAAGAATACGGGAATTGTCGTTAGTCCCACGGTAACACGGTCGAATTGCAGAGTGGAGAGATCGAGAATAGATATTGGGTCGGACGTTCGATGTAACGAGGTTTTCTGTTATCGAGTCTAACAAGGGGAAGCCGCGAACTGTACTCCAACGCTTTCATTCGTCTCCTTTTTTAGATGCGTGGAAGAGTGCACGCGACGATCGCGTCTCTACCGTTTTCGAGAAATAAATTAATACAAATGCGAAAATTTCGAGATTTGTAAATATTTTTAAAGATGTCCATGACGAAATTCTCCCTGCAACCAAATTCGTTTGTGTGTATCGAGTTCCATTAGGAAAACATGTATCTTTCGTCGCTTACAATTTCTTAATATTTATCTACGAACACTTTTCGCGAGAAAAGGAACGAGACACGCGTACTTGAAGCAGAACGGAGCTCGTGGCTTCCACTTGCAAATTATCATCCCCCCATTCTCCCTGAAAAACGAATATCGCAATGTATTTCCGCGTAACCGCGGGTAAAATGGGACTCCGATTGGAAGTAGGGGAAGCACCGTTATCGCGTACAACTCGGGGGAAAGTGGACCCTTTATTCCGGAGTGTCCACCCCCGGCGACTCGAATTCTCGATCGCCACTCGCGGGATTCCGGCTATTATTCATCGTTCGACACCTCGTTACGATCGGCGATCGCTTTCTTCCATTTTCCTCGGATGATCAATGGAACAGGAAATTCGAGGATTAGTCGAACTTGATTTTATCTAAATCTTGGAGATTAAATGTGACTTATGATTTATACTTTTGTTGGGGAACGATTGAATTTTGTGTAAAATTATCTATTTCGACGCAGCGTCGCGTCTTTTGCGGTTTTAATGGCTGGAAAGGAAGCGGAAGAAACGGAATCGGAGGGACGCAAGCGCCGGAACGATTTTTGTGGAAAATGGCGGAAAAATCGTCTTCGCGCGTTTTTGCGGGGCCAGATCGGCGTTTCCGGATGCGTACCGTGCCGCGACGTGGTCGAGGGCCTCGCGTTTTTGCGCGACCTTTTTCCGATAATTAATGTCCGTCGGTGCACCCCGCGGAACGTGGATGGAGGACAAATGCGAAATGGGAGGGGAGGGCCAGATTAATGACAGTTTTACTTGCAGCCATTGCAAGAACGATGAATTCGACGCTATCGCGGGTGCTAAAGATGGCAGAGAAGAAAGAAGGGAAATTTATTACCCGACTGGAAATTACTCGGAAATAAGATTTAATACTCTATTCTTCGAATCGTACGAGGAGAGAATTTTTATCGAAACGACGTTGGTGTCATTCTATACCCGTTGTATTAATGTAAATTAAATAGTTTTCGTGCTCTGGGCTTAAACAGCAGCACAGTTATGGTCGCAGTTCTGCTCTCTTCAAGGACGGTATGATTATAGTACGTTTATGGTTGAACGCGTATCGAATCGGAACACTCTCTAATTAATGTAAACAACGGGAATTGAATGTGATATATAATCAGAAAAATTCCTTATTTATATGGTATTATTATTCATCCTGAGAGCATGTCTTTTCACTAAAAAATTGTTTTAAAAATTCTAAAAAAATTCACGTATTACACTGATAATATTGGACATATAGTTTATCCTTTCATTTGCAAATGTAAATAATGGAGTGTAGGTCTCTTTAGCCCCAACTTTATGATGTGAATAAAAAAAATTTATTTCGATATTTCAATTATATACCTTTCAATAAATTAATATTCATCGCCTAATTCGTGCATGCGACTACTCGGTAGACAATCGCGATGCAATCTTTGTTACTTTTCTCGGGGGGTGATACTCGACATCCGGTTTCGGGACGCGAACGAAGTTGGAGACCGTAGCGAATAGGAGCTGTAACCGCAGCATGCGGTCAAATCGAGAATTCTTTTTACGACTTATAAAACGGGACGAGATCTAATCACGTCGGGAAGGAATAACAGTAAACTGGAACAAACATTGACTTGATTCTGACCTGATTAAAGTCGGTGTCAGGCTCAGTCAAATAAAGCTGTTCCGGGTAGAAATAGTTCCGATACGTGGCCGATTCCTCCGCAATAAAAGTGACCTTTTCCTTCTTGAAATACACTGTTACTCCTTGCCATTTTCTCCTCGTTGCTACCAGGAATCGCGCCCCTTGCCAACTATTTTCACGAGCACGCTGGCCAACAGTGCCGACAGCACGGAATCGCTGGGTCCGACCCAAGCTTTTTCGTTGCGTTTTACTTTTGCGATACGCTGCTGGTGACGCGCGATAATTATCGTGGGAATTGTGTAACACAGACTACTCGATTCGTACGTGGTCGCTATATAAATGTTCAACTTACGAATCACGTCTGGAGTTCATTTTAAGAATCATTGTTGCAAACGCCAGGAAATGTTCACGAAAATTAAGGGTAATTCAGTATCGGGGCTGAAAGTGGGAGCGTCGATACGTCCAGGCGGTTAAATTTAATCCAACATGAACCGACGTAAACCTCGAAACTTATATACGGGCGTAACGGCGCGGTTTTGTACGCGGTTCGCTCGACGCGGGAGCTAAAAGGGATTGGACAAGCGTAGGAAAGTTGCCGCGACGCGATCGTGACGGCGGGAAAAGGGCCTCGACGAGGAACGTGCGCGCGCGACGTGCCTTTCCTTTCTTTTCCCCCCCGACCACTTTTCCTTTTTCTCTTCGTTATCTTTCTCTCTCCGGGGCGACAGTTTCCCGCCGCGACCCTCCGACCCTTCCTCCGAAGATACAACCTTGCGACAACATCGAGTCGAAGGAGCACTTCTCGATCGATACCTGGCACTGTTTATTCTTACCCTACCTCCGACGCGCGGGAAAAACGGACGAAGGGATACGAGAGGGGGACGAAAGACGACGGGAAGGGGGATGAACGGGGGATGTCGGGAACGGTTCTGGGCCGAGGACGATAACGATAACACGATAGGACTGCTTAAAATCGGGGACGAGGAAATCGCGATGATTTTCACGTCGCCGACGACGCTGACGCTCGCCAAGAAAGGGAACAACTGGAAGCGACGTGGCCCCGTCGAAGAAACACATTTCCGTCCGGGTTACGGCTACGCTCTTGTCGCGAGGATTTTGGTCTTTTCGAGGGAACGTGCCGCCTCGGGGAGAAATCGTGCCTCTCGATTTGCTGGAACCACACGACCCTGTTAAAGTTTATGACAAAGACCGTGGTTATTTATTTTCATAGATTTGTGGCGCTGCTGGCTGAGGCTTAGGATCTCGTGAGAATCGTTGGAGGGCAGAAAAGGAAAGGAAA